TTAGGCTGAGCCCGTGGCAAAGACAGCTCACAGCAGAGCTCAATGCCCTTTGGGGAATCAGCACTGAAAAAAGAAAATCAGTGCTTGGGTCAAACCTTGGTGAAAATAATTCATCCAAGACAGCACCACGCACCACCTCGGCCAGCCAAAAGGCTGCACTGACCTTGCCCGAACACGGCATCTTGGGTTGAAAGGGCAGAGCGTGAGGATGTGACTCACATCTGGGATGTGGCTGCAAAGGACAGATGTGTTTTGTTACCGTCCAGGGCCCTGTCTGCAGCTCTGTCTGTGCACGCAGTGACTCAGCCCTGCCTTTGAGCTTCTGAAAGAAGAACCACGGCACATCTCTTCCCAGCAGCATCGCTGTGCTGCCGTGGAACAGATTTGGGAAGTTCAGGTTCCTGCAAGGCAAAGAAAAAAAATTTAAAAAAACAACAACAGCAAAACCAAAGTCATGTTTCTCTGTGGGGATCTTCCACTTTTAATTTTAAGTCATTCAGAGAAGGCTAAACCTGAATACTTTAGTGGTGGGATTAATTTTTCTAAGTTTAGACTTAAGAGCTAAAAGTACCCCCTCCCATCCCAGTGGAAGGACACGGGTGAGCCCCCTGGGTTTTCTTAGGCACTTGCCATAGGACAAGAGCAAACATTTCCTGGAGGCTCTCCACGTCTGGAAGGAGGAATCAGGGGATTTCAGCAGCTCTCCTTCCCACAATCCCTAGGAAATTCAGCAGCTTTTAGCGGAGAGAGTCCCAAAGCACTGAGGCACTCCTTACTAGGCATCAGAGAATCTAAAGAGGGGAACACTGCAGCTGGCTCAGCACTGCTTCTGTGGCTCTGCTGCAAAACCCAGCCCCGGACCCCAGACCTTGGGCCGCATCGTTCCCCCCGATTAAACCCTACAAACAGCCTTTTTCACACTCACCTCCACTATTTCTGCCCACGCAGTGACATGGATGGGGTCTGAGGGACACCGTGGGGCGATGGGTGGCCTCCCCTGGCAGCACAGAACTCCCCTCCTTTATTTTTTTACCAACAGGACAGCAGACGGAGCCCCATCCGCTGGGAATTCTTCCCCGGGACCATCCTGGCTGTGAAAGCACCGAAATCCGCATATTTTGCTGAAACGCCTGCGGGCGATACGGGGCCAAGCGCTGCCTGACCCGGGGCGGGGGCAGAAATCTGGGAGCCGGCAATGCAGTTCGCTTGGCAGACACTTGATGGGGCTACGAAACCGATTACCGGCACACACCTGGCAGAAACCGGGGAGGGGCAAACTAACCTCTGCCAGAGGTTTCCAGATGTTTTCAGGTCCCTCTTTGCGGCTGGGGGGGCGGGGGGCCGCCTTCCAGAGGGGAGGCTGGTCCCCTTGCAGCCGCAGCTTCGGTCGCATCCTGGAGATTGTGCTGCCAAACAAGGATTGCCAGCACCTGGAAAAAACCTGGACGAAACAGGCTTTACCCATATAATATTTTCTGCCATCTGTTTTGAGAAGCAATGGGAAGGGAGAGCGGGCAGCCCCGGCAGTGAAGCAACAGGCATCTCCAGCAGCGCTGCCTTGCAAAGCCCTGATTAAATTTTCTGCTGCTGTCTCAAGACCTTGCTCCTTCCCGACTCATGCAGGCCCTTTGCAGGCTGCCGAGGTGGGCAGGGGTGGGATTTCCCCCATGTTTCACCACAAAGCAAAGGGAGGATGGGGAGATGCAGTCCCAAAAAGGAGCAGCCCCCAATTCCCTGAACGCCGCTATTAAAACTTTTCCGGCACGTCTCTAAAACCTCCAGCCCTTGCCTGGCTCCAGCTGGCTGAGCAAGCTGGCAGACGAGAGGGGAGAATGAGAGTCAAGCCTCTCCTGCTTGAGGGAGAAAAAAAAATAAAATAATAAGAGACGGTCTCCATAAATCACGAGCTGGTTACCGATGGAGAGCACTCCGTTTCCTCTTGCTCCACACGCTGCGGCACAAATTACAGCCCCAACTTTGCCGTTGTTCAGTGATGAACATCTGAAAAGGCTACGACGGGTGAGAAAAGGGATGATTTAACAGCCATAAATCCAGCCAGCTTAGAGGTGTTTTTACAACCAAACCCATCTTGAATCCCCTGTGTTATGAATACTTATCGCTCCCAGACACTACTACAATGGAGAGATTTTTAACAGCTTTAATAGAGACGCAATAAAACCCCCAGAGCCCAGCAAGCAAACGTCCTTTTTATCGGTTGAGGGAGGGTGAGAGGGCCAAGAGCTGCTCGCTCAGAGGGATCAGAGCTGGAGCAGCCACCAGCCCACCCCTAACTCCTGGTTTAATGGTTGGCTGGCATCACCCGAGAGCTGGATCAGCTTTCCCAAAGCTGCTGTGTGGAGGGAGTAATTAACACCCCGCTGGGAAGGAGAGATGGGGAGCCAGGCTGTGCCCAACAAACAGGGCAAGGATGCTGCTCCCTGACACTTCAGGGAGGCCGGGAGATATCCCAGCTCGGGATGAAGTGGCCGACGATCTCCCTCCTTCTTGCTATGGACATTGTCCTACAGCATCTCCACACTGTTCTGCAAGCACAGGCTGCACCCAGCCAGCAAAACCAGCAGCTGGGAGGTGCCCGGGGTGCAAAGGGCACCTGGTGCTGAGCAAATACCTGAGGAATAAACACCTCCTTTTTTATACACACAAGTTTATCAGGCGAGGCGATAAGCAATTCCTCTCGGATGGAGGGAACAAAAACGGTTTCAGGGCACGTGGCTTCTGGTTTTCTCTAGCTGGTCAGCACACACCCATGTAAAGCACCAGGTAAAACATCCAAACACGGGCTGTGGGGCTGATGGGTTCCCCTCCTGCAGTGGTAAATCTGTGGAGTGCCTCAAGGAGAGTAATTAAAAAAATTAAAAAATAAAAAAAGGAGCTGGGCAAGCTCCTTCCTAAGAGAAATGTGGCCATGAAACCCTGCTCCTGGGCTACCAAGAGAGGAACCAGCTACAGGGCAGGGAACAGGCTTGGCTCAGCCAGACGCGACGCGAGGGGACGTGGTCTCTGGAGCCTGGGTGGAGGATGATACTCCCAGCCCATTAATCTAAGGGAACATCTTTTTTTAATAAGATAATAATGACTAATTGATTTTTAAATACACTGAAATCAAATGTCCCGAGGCCAGAGCAGGATCCCAGCTCTGCCATCAGATCAGCGGCGACTGGCAGAGACGGAGAGCGCAGGGGATAAGAACATAAAAATTAAATTTCCTTCATATGCCTAGCTGGCTCCGGGGTAAACACTAACATTGCTTTAAAAGGTGCATCAATTTTTCCCTATTAGAAAAGTAGGCCATCAAAAGGGAGAAGCTGGGAGGGAGGCTGAGCTGGTGAAGGCGCCACGGACCATCAAGGCAGGCAGTGGGGGGAGAAGAGCCACCTGATTAAAACACACGACAGCAGCTGAGCGACAAAGTAATTTTTCAGACCATTTATTCCAGTATCTCTCACCCCATTCTTCACACAGTCCCAGTCAGGAAGGGTTTATGGACATTTTTTATTTTATTAGAATTTTATATATATTTTTTATTTTTTTTTTTTAGAAAAATACACATGCAAATAATATATATTTGACTGCTAAACTTTTTTTCTTTCATGTTGGAAAAAAAAATAAAATAAAGAAACAAAGCAGGATTTGGGAAAGACCTGAGTGAAG